CAGCCACCTTCTATAACTCCTTTTGAGTGACAAGCATCAAAATGCTGTGCTGGAGGGTGACAGTATTAATTAATCAGAAGATACAAAATCTGGCAAAGAAAAGCCTCTTATGGGAAGGGTAACATCTTTTTTCAGTTTGTATTTGTTTCTCTAGGCCAAGAAGTCTCTCTGGGTAGTTTAATCAAACAAGTGGAGAGGATTTATGCTGAGTGAAATCCAGACCTCAATGAAGTCAGCAGCAAAACTCCCCTTGCCCTTGACAAATCTAAGGTTTTCACTCCTTGATTGTAATGACAGATACATGCCCACCTCCCCTGGACTGCTCTGAGAATGAAAACCGACGTCTGTCTATCTGTAGTATCAGTGCTTGACTTGGGTTTTTTTTTATCCATCTGTGTTCAGAGTGAGGGAGATTAACTGAGTAAATATTGTCAAAGGAAATGAAAAGCTGGTGAATGAATGGGACAGATTCAGGGGCTCCCTCATTCTTCTCTCAGATTTCCACCTGCCATAATCCCAGTGCTGCTGTGCTAGACCCCCCCCCCCCCCCCCCCACAGCAAACACACCAATGCAGTTATCGCAGTGGAAATTACATAAGAGCGATAGAATTGCTGCTGAATGGGAACAAATTTGGCTGGACTCGCTTTGTTAGATGGCTAATGAGTGGGATAGAGCAGAGCAAAGAGACAGAGAGAAAGAAGGGGGGGAAAAATGAATGTCTTTGTTAAAGAGAATTTGTCAGCTTCCGCCTGCGATTCCCTGGGGAGCATTCAGGGAAGACCTAATTGAATTAAGAACATGTGCACTTCTGCTAGCAAACGCTCTTTATCTCCGTCCAGTGAAGATGGCAGGCAAAGAGATGGGATTCATGGTAATTTCAGCACAGTGGATAGCAGCTGTATGCTGGGCCCTTGTAATTGCAAAGGAACATGATAAACTGTTGCATTTTGCATGATCCCCTCCCCCGGGGAGGGTGGGTGGAGGGATTGGGGTTGGGGAGGCATTTCCACTTGGCAGTACACTGCCTCCTTTCTTTGATGCCAGAGGAGGTCAAGGCCCTCAGCTTAATGAAATGCACCAGCGCAGAGGACAGCATCTGATGGCGTTAATGAGGCAGCCATTGGTACGGTCGCAAGGGTGCCTTCAGAGCAGCTTGGAAAGTTCCTTGTTCTGTATGTCGTCCCCCTCCTCCCCTGCCGGCAGCGACAGCTTCAGGGAATAGAGGAAGAAAAGGCACTCAGGCCAAAGGCTGCAGACGTGCCTCGCTTTGTTGCCTTCGGAGACGGCTCCTCATTACGGCGCTAACAAGGCAATGCCGGCCGCAGTCACGGAACAGGATGGAGCAAGGGCCATTTCGCCACTTCCCATCACGGATGGCAATTTGGAGAGTTAAAGGCACCTGATGACTTGGGCCGAGCTAAATGAGGAGACCATCTGCAAGGTGCACGCCCAATAAAGAGCACACGGGCAATGATGCCTCTTTGGGACAAGATTATTGGAGCAAAGAATTGCCTGCTTCAGTCTTTCCCTCCTGACAGTCTCTCTTTCCTCATTTAAAAGCTCTCTGCCTTTTCCCATATTATTGGGCCTCTAGTGAAGGCTCCTGATATCAACCAGAGGACTGAGCCCTGAAATCAGTCCTGTATCAGCAAAGGAGTGACCGCAAAGGTGAAAGGGGGTTATCCATATATCTTTGACTCTCATTAGCACAAGCCCTTAGGGATGTGAACAACAGCTGGATAGGATTTGGGCCTACCAGTCTTGGTGAAGGGGAACCTGCCATTGTCAATGGTCTGAATTGCTGAGGAAGCCACAGGATTGAATGCCCAGAGGTACATGTGGCCCCTGTGTACCAGCACTGCTACTCAGTGGCCAACCTGGTCCACAGCCTTCCAGTCATCATGGTGGTCTTTGTCTTCTGCATGGCACATGGTGACATGAGCGCCACCATCCAGCCAATTCCAAAATGGCCAGGAATGTCTTGGTGTCCTTGGCCAGAGCCTCACTGATTTGGGATAATATTGGGAGAAAATGAGGGGCCAATAGGGAGCCTGTGGCACCAGTTTAGCAACACTACAGCTTCCAAGCTGATCTGTAATTGTTTATAGATCAGCGCCAACATAACAACACTCCTATCTCAGCTCTGCCTCCCTTCCCAATAGATGGGTGACAGAGGCTGACTGACTTGTCTCCCAGATAGAAGGCAGGGGGAAGGGAGATGTGTGGACAGCTCTGGATTGCGCATTGGCTCATAGCAGAGACAGGGCACACAGATCGCCCGGCAGGAAGGAGACTGAAGGGCCTGGTAAGGAGAGGCCGTCAGTAAAAGAAGGTGAAATAGTCCTGGTGAAGAGGGGATGGACAGGCACAGGAGGCCCCTGCTATGGGCAAGGGGTTTGGCCTGCAGGAGCTATGAATGTGATGCCTTATGAGGAAGCCACTGCTTTTAGACACCATTAGCAGCCATGGCTGCTGTTTATTCCAGTGAAACTGTTCTGACCCTCAAGGTCTAAGATAGCAAAATAAGTTATGGTCACACTCAGCAACCCTTCAGCCTATGATCTTGCAGAGCCAGGGGCATGGGAGGAACTGTTTGCTGCAGCAAGCAGGGTCCCTGAAGGCCATAAAGAGCAGAGTCCTCAGGTAAACCAGTCCTTGGAAAGGAGAGTTAAGCCAGGCAGAGAGCATGGAGGTTGTAATTAGTTGGGTATATGCTGCAGATCACAACTGTGCCCCTAAGCCCGTTCACAGAAACAGACTGTCCTAAACATGACTCCTCTTCCAAGGCTCTAGCAAGGACTCTGTGGACACCACAGTTTATTTCATTATATCCAACTTCCCTGGCTAATCAGATTACATAGCAGTCTATAAAACCCAGGCTGGTCAGGGAGGGGAAGGCAGAGCTGAGGAGCTGGAAACAAAGGAAAGAAAAATCACATTACTGCCCCAAATTAGCATCTGACTCAGGCCTTGGTGCTGCTTGCTGAGTGAGCAGTTGGCCTGGCTCCAGCTGTCTGAGCCATGTCGATCCTGTTTCAAAGGCTGTTGCACCAGGAGTGCCCATGGGAATGGGTGGCAAAGGGTGGTTGATCATTATTGAACAAGTGCCTAGGAAACACTTTGAAAACCCAGGCTCTTGGGGCTTAATGCATCCCTCGCAGAAGATAAGCAGAAGTTTCTCATTTGCTCCTAAAGGCTTTAGATCCAGACCACAGATAGGGCATCAGCATCCTGCTACTCTTCCCTGCCCTTCTGTGCCACCCCACTTTGAAGGATAGCAGAACCCTTGCCTGATATGAAATACACCGTCCCTTGCCTGGCATCTCAGGGTAGTATTGCTATCTGCACTGGACAGATGGCAAACCTAAGGTGCAACCATGTCAGGTGACTTACCTGCAGTCATAAAGCCAATGTGAAACCGAGCCAGAAGTGTTGGTCCCAGCCCCCTGCCATCACCACTAGAACTCATCCACTCCCAACAAATTCCTGATTATTAGGGACCAGTGTGATACTTCAGAGTGGTTGAATGAAATGAGTCCTTCATGACGAGCCACCACAGAACTCCCTGCAGAGACTACTATGGTACCTGTTGTTCCCTCTACCAGCCAGTCTGAAGAGGGAAGTCCTAAGCATACAGAAGAAGGGAAAAATCCTGGTTTTTCTCCTTCACTCTCCTCAAAAACCTTTTATCTCATTGTCTGGGAGGATAGTCCCATAGTTAGTGGCATAACCTACGACTTTGCAGACCTAGGTTCAATTTCCTGTTGCATTGTAGTCACAGGCAAGTAACTTTCTGTGCCTCAGTTCTCCATCTCTGGAATGGTGTTAGTGGTATGTAGCTCACAGGGGTAATGGGAGGATCCATTCAAGACTGTGAGGTGCTTAGATATTGCAGGTAAAGAGGGCTGTGTGTGTACAGAGGCTGTCCCTTCACTGAATATAAGCTAGACTTCATTCCTGCATCACCAATTCCCATGGTTTTCTCCCAATACCATGCCTACCTACTTGCCTGAGCCTCCTTTGTTGAGAAGGTGTTTCAGGGATGGGGGCCACATTTCACACACAAATTCAGCCCTCCTGCTCCTTCTCTTAGATTGAGTATACAGTGACAATCATCCAAAGGGTTGCTTTCTGCCCAGACTTCTCTCTCATATAGTCAAAAACTATCAGTCTCACAATGGAACGGACAGAATAGAAGCTGGTTCCCTTTCCCACCACTCTATCCACAACAAGGTTGATGGGATGAAAAAGTAACACAAGTATACTGTGATCAAAGTGAGGGGGCAGGATGTTGAACAAGTCCAGGGACAGATCTGGTGAGAAAGAAGGTTTCAGATATATATAGAATGACTCTGCTTTGAATTCAGAGTCTTAGGGGGCTGCAACCCCACCATAATATAGCACAGTTGTTACAGCATTATCCTCATTGTACCAATCGGAAATGATGACTACAGAGGTGAAGTGCAAGTCTATCAGAGCCATGATTTAGACCCAAATCTTCCCAAGTTTTGCTGTCTTGTGCCTTGGTCACCCCAGGAGCCCTCCCTCCTCTCTTGTTGTCTAGCCCTCATCAGGCCTG